AACCTACGACTGAATAGAAGACTAAGTTGACACGCACACTAGTTTTCAATCTTTCAGTCATAGAGAAGTCTCCAGCGTCTTCAAAACCCTGAATAAGGGGCACTACAGCCCTGCTTAGAGATAACATAATTAATTATATGAGGAAATGCACAACAATCTAGAAAACCAACAGCAAGAACCATCTCGCAAACAATAACACAATGGACAATTCAACAAAAGGTACAAGTACAACCCTAAGTCATTCATTTCAAACCCCCCTGAAGAACCCGAAGCAAAGCAACGACAATATGAATACAGACTTTAGCTTTTTGACATTCAGAGGAGGAAAAAAGATAAATCAAAGGAATACATCCATCCCAAAGAAGGACAGATTTATAAAAAAAAATTAACCAAATGTGATCCTAAAGAAATTAATCTAGAATACAGCAAATTTGCATTTCCACAAGAATTTCAGTTCCACAAATGCTCATAAGTTAAACGAACTTAGATAAACTAGAAAGAAATTCGATTAAAAAAACGTACCAGGTAAGGAGAAAGGTACCCCAATAAGACCAGCTCCAAAAGAACGATATTCCTCCATTTTCATTAGCATTTTCCGGCTTTGATATCGTCTGCACAAAAGTTAACAGAAAAGTTTCAAATTCCGGTAGCCCTATCTTAACGAAAGAAAGAAAAAAAACACGATTAATCAAATAAACCAAAATTTAAAATGGAATTATGAAAAGAAAAAGGATTCACCGTCCAAATATCGGCGGGAACAAGAATGATGATGGAGAGAGAACAAAACCAAGTATATCCGACGGTGAAAAGGACATAACGAGGGACATCGGGACCAGCGAAGTACCTCAAGGTGAAAACAACCATGCCTAGGGTCAAAGGCAACGAGATCAGGTAAAATACCCACATCTCTCCTTGCCTTTAAAATTCCGATCGTCGAGGATCTCCGATGAGTCGCCGGTGGTTTGGGGTTTGTATTAAAAGAGGGAAATTGATGAAGAAACACCCAAACGCTAAAATCTAAAGATGGTTCTTCATTTGTTAAACCGTTAATTCAAAGTCACCGTGTTTTAACGCTTAACCGTTCCGTTCCGTTTTTTATTAGTATTTTATTTTGGTCCCCTTTCCTTTCTCGATTAGTTGGGTTCTCGTTTCATATTTGAAATTTGTTGTCGCATAATATCAAAAATAATTTAAAGTTTATCAAAATGGTCATTTTGAATTATATTTTTTATTATTTTATTATATATCAGAAAATTTTTTATTTAGGATATGAAACGTTGAGGCCTTAAATGTTTGAGTCTTTTTTAATCTAAATTGAAATATTTTTGACATTCTTAATACTCGAACGTAATCTCAAAGAATAACAACAATCTTTTACCGTCGAATTCATTTAGTTTTTGTATTTTTAAAATTTATAATCGTTTATTTAAGGGTGATTTTAAAATTTGATTTAAAAAAAAAGGTGTTATTCAAGATTTAATATATTTGATTTTTAAAAAAATTTAAAATATGATTTACATATCTAAATTAAAGTTCACAAGTTATTTATGATAATTTATTATTAACATTTTTATTAAATATAAATATTAAATATTCATAAAAAATCAATATAATTCATTTGTGAAGTTTAATCTAGATATATAAATTATATTTTAAATTTGAAAAAATCATATATATTATCATATATATTTGTTGATAGAATAAATATGGTTATGTCAGATGTAAATGGTTTATCTCGTTTGATTTGTGATGAAATGATTGTCAATCGATAGCATTTACGGTAAAAATAAATGAAGAAAAGTTAATAAGGATAATAAGTTGATTGTTTGGACTAAAAGAGTTACCTTCTCTTCATGCGTGATGTGTTAAAATTATATATTGATTCTTATTCGTGATGTGTTATAACTTTGATTATGATTAGAGATGAGCATGAGTTGATAGGCTCGGATTTTCGTCAATCCAATTCGATTCAAAAAATATATATCTTTCACCCAACTCGAACTCGATTCGACTCAAAAAATATACACTCTTCACCTGATCTAACCCGATTAAACTTGAAATAATATATTTTTTAAAAAATATTATTTTTATTCAATTAAAATAAGAATTTAATTGAAAAATAATATATGGAGACATTATTACAATTATACCTAAATATAAAGGTAAAATTATATGTTTTATTAGGTAGGGTCGGGTCGGTACTTTTCTCTCTAAATCTAAATCCGACCCGACACTAACACAACCTCTAAAAAAATTCGACTCGAACCAATTTTTTATAAAAAAAATTACCCGATCAAATTGGGTCGAATCAGAATTCGTCAGATTTGAGTCTCATACCCATTCTTAATCATAATTGTTGTTTGTAGGTTGATAAAATAATTAAATATAAGCGTCATTCAATAAATTTACATATTGTTAGATTTCTTAAATTTAAAAAATATATTATCAAAAGGTGTTGGTGGGTCAAATAATTTTAATAAATTCGAAGATATAACACTTTGATATCCGAAAATATAATCCAAGGTTCGACGGAGGTATATTCAAAGCAGTACCATAACATTAATTTCTGAATAAGCTTAAGCTGTAGCAGTCCTTTGTCGCTTTTCCCATCATCCTTCACTCTTGTTAGTTTAGCATTTTGCCTTAGACTTTGCCATAACATTAGTTATTTAGTTTACTTTAGAATTGTTAGATCACAGTTTGCATCTCATTCTTTTATCTTTATTTTGCCACCATATTATTGTTACTAATTAGCATATAATTCAATTAAATTGTTATCAACCCATTTTCTCTGGAAACTATACTTATTCATTACTATATTACTTATTATTGACGAATATACTTTGCACATCATATTTACACGATAAACTGATTAAAAAATATCTCTGAAAAAATAAATTACCAAAATAATTCATCTCAAACATTATTTCTCACACTAGGGCGATTGTTACATTAACTTCAAAAACTCCAAGAGTGTAATGAGTCTTTAGTTAAAGAGTCCAAAACGACTATGCGTCTTCAACCTTTCCATGTATTTCAAATTCTTATGACTCATATTTCTGGAGCCTTCAATTGAAGACTCGTTGCATTCATGGAGTCTTCTGAAGTCGCATAGATCACCATGCGTCGTCTCTTTTGCACTGTAGCAATCGCTCTAGTTTGAGAAATAATAGGTGAAGTGGATCATTTACGTATTTTTTTCCAGAAATAATATTTGAGTAATTTTGCACATACAACATTGTGCCTCTTTAGTGATAAATGAATTGTTGTAATTTCTTAAGGTCTCGAGTTTGAGCACCAAGAATATCAAGGATAAGAGAGTTCAATATCAAATGATTAAAAATTATCTTTAAACATATAATACTTTGTATGTATCCCATATTAATACTAATAATAAAAAGACACTGTGCCCCTTCATTTAGCAGAATTACGTGATCATGATTATTGTTGGAAGGCATACCTTTAGGTTCCTCAAATACCTTGAGTTATTAATTATACCAACAGTGGTTAGAGTATCTCTGGAATAACAGTCTTTGTAGCTTCAACACTTAATAGGTAAACTTCTCCCAAATCCAAAATTTTTATTTGTTAGATTCTGTAGCTTATCTCTTAGGATCATCTTGACATAAGGTACTTATCCTTCTCTTTACTTGGTTGTAAATGATATGAGTATTGTCACTGTCTATTAAGATATTCTAGGGTGCGTTTTGTTCATGGAATATAGCATTACATTCGGGAATAGGATTACTAGAATGTAACATTACCTAACACATTACTAGGAATGTTGCATTGTTGTGTTTGGTTCGTTTAGTAGGAATGTAAGATTACAATGTTTAGTTAAAGGAATAAAAGATTATTGAAATGTATATTTTACCAAATTGTCCTTATTATATATTTGTTTTTTTAACAAGTTGAATTCTAAATATTCAAATGAAAATATTTGTATAAAAGATCATAGAAAATATATAATTTTACTATTTTTAATTTATATATTTTTTAAAAAATTTAAATTCATAAAATTTATATAATTTTTTTTACAAAATTTAAAAGATAAATAGGTTTAATGAAAGTGTTTAATTTTATTTTGACCCCTGAACTTCATATAAAATTCTAATTATGGACTTTTTGTAAATCTAAAATAGTTTAAGGATAAATTTGCAATTTAACCTTCATAGAATTTTTTTTATTCAATGACAGAAGAAGAATATTTTTGAAGAAAAAAAATTAAGGGCATTTTAGTCCAAAACGCAGGGAAATAGCAAATACCTAAGGGATTAGGAGAATCACGTTCCCGATAATAAGCCCCCAAAATACAACTGTTGGGAATGACTTATTGTTGGGGGTTGGGAATCTTTGCAATCCAAACGGGGGAATCACATTTGGGAAAAATATTCCCCCTAGTAATCTCACAATCCCTCATCCAAATGCACCCTTAAGGTATTTACCCTTGAGCTTGGTAATAATCTTTTCCGGAATCACATATCTTTGTTTGGTTCGAAATCATTCCTTCTAAGAGGTAATAGAGTATTACCAACAGTAGTTTTTTTGCTTGGATCTATGGGATTCTTATTCCTTCCTCCACCTTATGTATTTAACAATTCATATGGTTTTGGACAAAATTACTCCTAAAATAATTAGATAATTTCAAAATTATCATTTCTTTTATTCTTTTAAACTTTGTAATAAATCATTTACTTTATTTACATTCTCTCATAATTAATATTTATGACTTGATAAATTATATTGTATTGATGGTGAATATAACACGATTTCAACAGTTTAAAACTCATATCTACACTCGACCATCAAAAGATTTGGATACATTACTTCATGAGAATGTTAGCTACAATCAACTGTTCTACACTGATATCTCGGTCATGGTAAAGCAAAAGAAGATGGAACTTGAACAACAATAACTTTTAACCCTAAGAGGAGAGGATACCATTGTAAAGGAGCTCCAAATTCAAAACGAGTTAAAACTCCTTGAAGAGGCTGAGAATATGTTCCTAAAGCAGAAGGCGAAGGTATATTGGCTAAAAGAAGGTGATAAATGTTCTAAATGTTTTCATTCAGTAGTTGCTTCTAAGACCAAAAGGGACACTATTAGGGTCCTTGTTGATGATCATGGAAAAATATTAGAATCATTCGATGATATAACTACTGAGGTGATAGGGTTTTTCACTAGGCTGATTGGAACTGCTGATCCAGGAGTCAAAAGTTGTAATCCAAATATTTTAAAAGATTTGCTCCATTACTCCATGCCTATTGAAGCTTCCACTGGCCTTGTTAAGGAAATATAACAAGGAAAGATATCAAAGATGCATTTTTCTGTCAAGGAAATGATAAAGCCCCAGAACCTGATGGATTTACTCCCTATTTTTTCAAAAAATCCTGGTCAATTATTGGTCATGATGTAGTTGCTGCTGTTACACAATTCTTTCAAGATTCTTTTATGCTGCCTACTTTCAATGCAATATCTATTACATTGGTGCCTAAAGTTCCTAATCCAAGCAAGGTGAAGGATTTTAGACCTACCTCTTGTTGTTCAGTGGTTTACAAAGCTATTTCAAAGATCTTGGTCAAAAGATTGACAAGTCTTTTACAGATATTATAACTCTCAATCAGACTGCTTTTGTTAAAGGAAAGAACATTGTTGACAACACCCTTCTTGCTCAGGAACTGGTTAAAGGCTATGGTAGGAAGACTATTTCTCCAAGTTGTTCACTGAAAATTGACCTCTATAAGACTTTTGAATCTCTGCATTGGGACTTTATCTATGTTATTCTTACTGCTATTGTGCTTCCAATGACATTTATAAGCTGGATTGAAGCTTGTTTCACTGCTGCTCGTTACTCCATTTCTTTTAATGGAAGTTTAATTGGATACTTCAAAGGTGCAAGAGGTATAAGAAAAAGAGACCCAATTTCTCCTCTCTTATTTGTTCTCTCCATAAATGTGCTATCAAGAATTCTAAACAAGGCTGCTGAAAGAGGTATTTTTGGTTATCACCCTCGTTGCAAAAAGGTTGGTCTAACCCATCTTGCGTTTACTGATGACATTCTTATTTTCTATAAAGGAAATGTTGAATTTGTTGTTGGTGTTATAAGTGTCTTGGACTACTTTTATGAAAATTTTGGCCTTAAGCTGAATGCATCTAAATGTGATATATTTGTTGTTGGTATCTCTTCTAGTAAACTTGAGGATGTCAAAATGATTGATGGGTTTAATCAAGGTTATATGCCGGTAAGATACTTAGGAGTTCCCCTGGTTACTAGAAAACTTTCTGACAAAGACTATGTGGCTCTTATTGACAACATCAGGTCATGTTTACACAAATGGTCTAGAAGACATTTAAGTTATACTGGCAGATTATAATTAATCAGAACTGTTCTGCTTAGCATTACAAACTTTTGGTGTAGGCAGTTAATTCTGTCTTAATCTGTCTTAAACAGGATTGATCAGTTATGCTCTCGATTTTTCTGGAAAGGTTCGAATAAGGCAGGAACTGGTGCAAGAGTTAGTTGGGAGAAGTTATGCCTCTTGAAATCTGAAGGAGGGCTTGGACTAAAGGACATCAAGTCTTGGAATAAAGCATGTATGATCAAATTGATCAGGAATATCCTTGAGAGTGAAGGGTCCTTGTGTGTTGCCAGGCTGAAAAGCTATGTGATTAAGGATACTGACTTTTGGAACATGGAGGCTGGAATTAATTCAAGCTGGAGCTTTAGGCTTTTACTTAAAATGAGACTTGAGGCTTACCCTGTTTTATCTTCCGGAGCTCAACAGATTAGAGAAATTTGGAATCTGATTAGAACGAAGGGAACCAAAGTTACATGGCATAAGTTGATATGGTTTCCTCTTCATATTCCTAAGCATAGTATGATTGCATGGATGACCTTATTAGACAGACTTCCAACGAAAGATAGGTTAAAACATATGGGACTCAACATTGATGACAAATGTGTTTTTTGTAAACACTCACTGGAAACAAGAGATCACGTATTCCTACACTGTCCTACAGGTATTTCATTGTGGGAGGTAGTGTTGAACCTTAATGGCATGCGGAGAAGATCACTTTCATGGGACAATCATTTAGCTTGGGCTTGTGGTAATTGGAAAGGTAAATCCTTACTCACAACTATTATGAAGTTATCTTGGAATGCTTTAACTTACACTATTTGGGATGAGAGGAACAAAAGATTATTCCAAGGATACTCGAGAGTTTTGGATGAGATGATCCATTCTATTAAAGAAATTGTTGTTATTCAATTAAGGGTAGAAATATTAATAGGAACGATAGTGTTAAAATTACTCTTTGTAATCAATGGGGTATATATTAATTGATGTTTTTTGCTCTTGTAAGTAGGTGGTTCTTTTGTAATAAGGAAACTGGTTGTTTTTTGTAGCAGTTCTCTGCTCTTTGGGTAATAAAATTAAATTATAAAAAAAACACTGCCTACCTAGAAGAATTTCAATTCCCTTCTCATTATGTAATCAAAAAATTAAAAGAATATATAATATGTTTATTTTTTATTCTACTTATTTATTTTTAAAATTTTATAAAAGAAAATATATAAATTCTATGAATTTAGATTTTATAAAATAAAATTAATGAAATAATATATTTTATATAAATATTTTTATTTTAATATTAAGAATTCAATTTTTTTGAAAAATATATCACATGGACAATTTGATAAAATATACATTCTAGTAATCTTATATTCGTTCAACTAAACACTGTAAATCTGTAATCTTATATTCCTACCAAACAAACCAAACAAGGTAATATATCATTCTTAGAAATGTGTCAATATTCTCAAAGGTAATCTTATATTTCATTAACCAAACGATACCTTAAAATTATATCAGTTCCCTCACTTCTAACACTCGAAAATTATGCTCAAAATTACACCCCTTGTATTTTCTATCTGAGCAAATTATTTTTTTAATGTTCCATAACTTTTCTCTATTGGCTAGTGTGATGGCTAAGGGGTGAGTTGCACTATTTCAATTCCTTCTTTAGCTTAACTACGAATAATAAATATGAGTATCGTCACTGTCTATTAAGATATTTAATGATTTTCCTATGATATATCCATTTATCTTCAGTGTGTTAAACCCCATACAGCTAATTAGAGCAATAATGGAAATTTCTAGTGCCCATTCCGAATCCTCCCCTGTAGGCTCTTATCTTCTTCCTTTTTCTCCTTTCTTCATGCATTTCCTCCTCCACTAAATTAAACTATTTCCTCTGCATTAATGATTAGGATTGATTTTTTCCCACATTTGAATCATAAAGTTGTGATTCTTGATGTATTCCAAGGGGTAAGGGTTGAGAATAAACTTGTGGGTTGTATAGGGTCGTGGGATTTTTTAGTAAGTTGAAGGTTCTAGTTAGGGATGAGTATGGGACTCGAATCTGACCGGTTTCGACCAGACTAGATCGGGTCAGTTATTTAGAGATTGTATTTGGGTCTGGTCGGGTGAAAAATACCCGACCCAATTCAACCCGAGAAAAACATATAATTTTACCTTTATATTTAGGGATAATTGCAATAGTGCTCCTCTATATATATTTTTCAATTAAATCTCTATTTTAATTAAATAAAAATAATATTTTGTAATAAATATATTATTTTGGGTCAGGTCGAATTCGGGTCGGATAGAGGGTGTATATTTTTTAGATTAGCTCAGATTCAAATGAAGGATGTGTAATTTTTTGGTTGGGTCGAATTGACCCGACCCATGCACATCCCTAATTCAGATTGTGGAATACCTCTATCTTTTAAATTCAATTTTCAAAGACATTTCATAGAATTTAACCTGCCTATAGGCATAGAAAAGGATTTTGATTCATGGACCTTCACCCCTATGTTTGATTTTTTATTCTACTCATAAAACTAATAACAGAATAATCTTTATTCAAATTGATATTAAATTGCAACATAAAAGTAAACTCTTCAAACTTATCTTGATATTCCTCTGGTGATTCTTCTGCATCAATTTGTTATATTCTTCCACAATATGAGTATAGATCTTATCACAAAATTTGTGACATAAATTTACTGTAATTTTTTTAAAAAAGGAAAGTGACCTCGTTAAAAATCTCCTCGTAACTTAATTGAATCGAATTAATTAAGAATGCTCGGACATATATTCATTTCATACCGAAAAACTTCAACAGTACAATCACATCTAACAGTACATAGCCTGTAACAATTCAACCCGAGAAAACAACTACATCCCACAGCAGAAAGCAAAACCAACGAAAATAACCCTAAAACGAAACAACGCGGAGACAAGCGAGGACTATATTACTAACCAACAAACTGCTCAGAACCAACCCTTGCAATTAACAAACCCCTGCAAACGAAAAGTCCCTGCAAGGAACAAAGAACCGCCCATTACAGTAGTAAAACAAGCTCAAAATGAAAAAAAAAAATTAAAAACAGATGCCACCCCCCAATTAACTAAGTCCCCAAAAAAACTGCAAAACAAACAAGAGCAGCGTAAGACAGGACCACCGCAGGAGTGAAGAGAAAGCCCTTAGATAACTGCTATATAAGAATATTGGCAACAACATCCTGTCGGAACGATCCTTAAGCTTTTTAAGGCTCATCGCGGGGAGCGATCCAACTTAATTTTAGGATTGATTTCTTAAATAAATGTATAAATAAACAAATTTGGAATCGTCATCGACCTTTGGGTTAAGTAGGTCAAATACCTAAAAATACCTTTTAAAATAATTTTAAGAAAAATAATTTTAAAAGATAAAAATTGATCTGCGTTTAATCATAAATTCATTTTGAAAAAGATTCGGGAGTTGATTACGTGTGGGGAATGATTAGCACCCCACAACACCCGAAATCGGTACCTAAGCGATTATACGTCATCTAAATATTGAAATTGGAAAATTTGAATAACATTTAAATTATGATCCTTTTTTAAAAATACAAAGGGTATTATTTTGCATGAACAACTCTCGAAAATACCTTCCTTGTCAGTTAAGGGGTATTTCCATGGATTTCTCATACAAAATAATATTGCCCAAAAAATTTATTAATTATATATAAGAAAAATTCATTTGAATATAAAATGTATTATTTTATTCAAACAATTCTTGGAGACACGCTCCTTTTCAGTTAAGGTGTGTTTCTATAAATTACTCGAATAAAATAATATTTGAAAATATTATAGTTAACAAGAAATTAACGAATATGTAAATGATGAATTAAAATAATAAATATGGTAACTTAAGATATTAGACTATAAAACTAACATGAAATTAAGGCAACCATTGCAAATAAAATAAATAACAAATCATATAATATAAGAATGGAACATTGTAGGCACTAGCAGTGTAATAAACCCACACTTTTAGGACCAAAATGAAATAATTTAAAACTTCGAGCTAGGAATTAAAGTAAATAAAAGTCAATAACTCAAGGTGACCAAATTGTAACACGCGTAAAAAAATAGGACCAAATTGTAACACGCGTAAAATAATAGGACCAAATCAGAAACAAACCCATAAGCATGCGTGGGATTGAAATAAAAGATTCAAAAACAACATGCTAAATGTACAAACAAATAAGAAGTTTAAAATAACTAAGCCTAGGGACTAAAATAAACGGTGCGTAAAATCTGGTGACCAAAATCATAAACTTCAAATATCACGAAATAGGGCTAAAATAAAATATGAAGCAAATAAGAAGCTCGAAATTAAAAAACAAAAGTTTCATTTAGTGACTAAAATAAAACTTTACAAGAACTAAGACCCTTCTAGTGTGATTAGACCATGCATTGGTTTTCTAAAAACCCTAAGGCCTTAAAACAACATCGTTTTGAACCTGATTTAAATACCCCTTTATGAGATTTCAAGAAACCCTAACCCTATTTTATTTCCCTAACCGTGTAGCTCTTCCTCTTTTTCTCTCATCTCCATCTTTTTTCTTTGCTTTATTTTTTATTTTTGAATGAAGCCCAACTGGTGGTCATGAACCACCGTGGCCACCACCGCACACACCCATTATGAGGGGTCAACCAACCTCAAAACATTCATAATAAAACTTCCCTAGCATATTCGACCTTTAAATCGACCCTTTTGAGACCTAAAACTCCCTTAAATGAACCCAAACAAATGGCTACCTTTGATACTTGACAAGCACCCTCGTCGGCAACGGAGTGAAGACTAAGGTAAAGTCTATTTTTCTTTCTTCTTTTCTTTCGATTTTCCTTTTCCATTTTCTTTTTTCTGTTTTCTTTCTCTAGAAGTAACCCCCTCCCCCAATGCCTTTCTCTCATTTCTTTTCGGTTTTTATCTACATCTTTTGCAGGTTTGGTGAAGCTAGAGTCGAGGGAATGATTTCCCTATGTTTGCATAATAAATCCCGATTTTTTGGGATTTTTTAATTTTAAAATAGGGTTTGATGTTTTTACTTGTTGATTGACTTTGTTGTTGCTGTAGATGATGATGATGGTTGAAACAACGGCTGTCGGATGACAGGATCGAGTGGCCGGAACAGTGGTGGTTGTGGAAGACTCTCACCGGTGGCGACGGTAGCTGCTGGAAACCCTAAGGTTTCAAACCCTTGGTGTCTTATCTTAATTAGGCTAGGGTTTTATAATTGGGCTTGTTGTAAAGGTCTGATCGGACTTGTTGTAATTCGGGGCCCAGCTTCGGGTATGTATCCTGTAAAAAAAATGATAATAAAATTAATAATAATAATAATAATAATATTAGATATTATTAACAACCCGGACGAAAACGGGTATCTACAATCCCATTACACACTATTATATTTTGACCCAAATTATAACTAGTAATTAGGTTGTATTTTATTATAATTATTTTAGGCAAGAACTCTTATAGAAGAATTCTTGGTGGCCACGTATTTGACTCCATAAATAGAGATAATGTTTTAACCTAATGTGTGATAGAATTATTTTGGAGAGATGTAATCCTTTTGTGTTGCAGAGATAGTTTTGTAGGAATTAAGAGAGTTTTTTGGATACATTGGATTTTTGGATCTATACCGGATTTTGAGATACATGTGCTTGTACTCTTCTTGATCTCTACGTTTATAGTGGATTATTGTTCATCTTGCCTATAGAGGTAGGCAAGACCGAACACATTAAATCTCGTCTCGTGTGCATGTCTTATTTATGTTGATATCGCTTTGGTTGTTTTTCCGCTTACAAACTCTAACAAGTGGTATCAAAGTTATGGTTCGGGTTGTGAAATTTTGAAGGAATTTGTTGTTGTGGATTTTTAAGCGATTTTAGAGACATGCAAGATGAATTTGCTACAATGAGTTTTTAGTTACAGGGAAGTAATTATCGATTGATCCAGTGATACTTCAATGAATATTGCGTAAAAACTGAAGTTTTTGAAGACTTGACAACGATGCTTCAACGAATATGCGACTTACATAAATATTAAAGTTATTGAAGACTTGAATACCAATTTTAATGAAATTTGGGTCAAGGGGAAAATTTGTTATATTTTAACCCAAATTATAATTAGTAATTAAGTTAGATTTTATTATAATTATTTTAGGTAAGAATTCTTATGGAATGACCAATTATTTGACTCTATATATAGTGATAATGTCTTAACCTAATGAGTGAGAGAATTATTTTTTAGAGATGTAATCATTTTGGGGTCTCTGCAACTTTTGGGTTTATGTTGCAGAGATAATTTTGTAGGGACTGAGAGAGGTTTTATGATACACCGGGTTTTGGGATCTATACCGTATTTTGGGTACATGTGATATCATATACTTGTATTATTTGTTCTCTACATCTATAATGAACTATTGTTCATCTCGAGAATTGTTTTTCTTGAATTTGGGTGTCACATCAAATTTGAGTGTTTTGTCTCGAAACCTTCACACTTTCACAATTTACGTCAATGTGGAGATTTATCAGAGTAAATTAATTAAAATATAAATTTAGGAAAGTAATAAACCTAATATGATTAGAAATATATAACTTTATTAAATAGATTTATACTTTATTTAGTTTTACTTTGTAGTAATCTAGTATTATCCCTATAAATAAATACTAGGGTAAGAGTTAGATATCAAGTTTTTCTTTCACCAAAATTCTCAAAATTCTCTTGTATTTTCTTCCTTCATATTGTGAAATTATTCTCCTCTATGATTTTTCCCTTTTGGGGTTTTTACGTAAATCTCAGTATTTTTTATTTTTATTTTTTGATCGTGTTTATTTATTTTTCGATAATCATCGTTCTGATATTATATAACACAAAGGTCCAAAATGAAGAAGATATCGCTTGCAATAAAACACTCAAAAAGCCCATGACAGAATCCAAACTCAAGGAACCCAAAGAAAAGCTCTACTTGGCACCAAACACAAGACTCAGAGATCTGCAGAAAGACGTTACCCGATAACCAAACCAGCAACAAATTTCTTTATAGAAACATGATCTATCGAAAACGCAGGATCAACAATGAAGTTGTTCACAGATAAGATATTATCATGCCAGTTGCACTTGCACCACCAAGCAATCCTGACAATGAAAATATCAAACATTTGATTTTCATCGACAGATTTACCGCTAAAAACCACCTCGTTTCGGAACAGCCAAATAGACCAAGCTATACCATGGAGGGCCACTAAATACTGGAAAAGAAGCAGTTCGAACATGACAATTTAACCACAAATTCACAAAGGATTTAATGTCAGTTAGCATAACTATATGAACTTTCCAGATTTTGCAGCACCGAAGCCGAAGCCGACAAGACATTGAGCGATGGCAAAACAAATGAACGATGGTTTCTACATCAGCTTTACAGAGGGTGCATAGTGTCACGGACTTAGCCTAGTTGGTTCGGTTGCTAATCCGTGTGGCACTCGAAAGGGACGCTTCCCAACCAAGTCAGCCTTAATCTCGTAGATCTGATCAAGCATAAACAAACATTGCGTTAGATCGTTATAGCCACATGGTCTTTCGACCAATAATCCGAGCCCGTGGGGCATAGCGGATGCACACCTCAACCCCCGGACTTCTCCGAGAGAAAAATGTTTTATTAATAAAAGAAATATCGGGTTAGAGAAGACTCACCCACACCACCGATTAGGCCGTAGGGGCGGCCCTCGATGGTGTTCACAAGACACGTACCTTTACCTGTGGATCAGCCCAAACTCTGCCGGCTGTCCACCCCCTACATATATGCGAAAACAAAATAGTAGAAATGCTACCTATAGACGTTGAAATGCTCGAACAGGGGACAGTAAGTCATACCCCTACTCCCTACCTAAAACATTAAAATGCTTGAAAAGAGGACAAGCTTATTCTACCCTGCCACTAGGCCCTATACATGGTTGGCCTTGGCGTACCTACCCGGTTGTGGCCCCATAAAAGGGACGGTCACGACAATCTCCCCCACCTAATTTGTCGACGTCCTCGTCGACTGCTTGGCCTGAAACTCTTCAATCTGTTGCTTAAATGCCCTGAGATCATACTATCTTTCCCAAGTGTTCTCTTCCTGATCAAAGCCTCCCCACTTGACTAGATACTCCCGTCTTTGCTTTCCACCCACCTTAACAATTCTCCCTGCTAGAATCTCGTCAACATGACGCTGTGAGGGTGGTTGTGTGCCGATTGACTCCCTGGCAGACATACTCTGATTATCGATATTGGGATCGGTGTAAAACGGCTTCAAATTGCTCACATGGAAGACAGGGTGAACTCTCATCCAAGTAGGAGGGTCAACTTTGTACGAAGCATTCCCCACCTTTGCTACTATTGAGACTGGACCCTCGTACTTACGCACCAAGCGACGATCCCTCTGGCGTAAAAATCTAAGTTGTTCTGGCATCAACTTGACTAGCACCAAATCTCCAACCTGAAAGTGTAGGTCTCGCCTGTTACGATCTGCGCATTTCTTCATACGCTTCGTTACTTTCTCTAAGTAAGCCTTGCCAATCTCCATATTCTGCTTCCACTCCCCCACAAAATTTGAGGTACGAGGGCATCTACCTTGAGAGGTCTCATCCACAGTGTGAGGAAGTCTTGGCTGCTGACCTGTCACCAGTTCAAAAGGGCTTTTATTAGTAGATGAACTCTTTTGTGAATTAAAACATAATTGCGCCACATCCAATAATGGAGGCCAGTTCTTCTGATTGGCCTGAATAAAGTGCCTCAGGTACTCCTCTAAGAGTCCATTAAATCGCTCAGTCTGACCATCTGTTTGAGGGTGGTAACTCGACGAAAAGTTGAGTTGTGTCCCTAATAACTGGAACAATCCTTTCCAAAATTTCCCAATAAATCTTCCATCTCGGTCACTGACTATGCTCTGAGGAATGCCCCAATATTTCACCACATGTTTGAACACCAACTTAGCAGTCTCTTCCGCCGAACAATACTTTGATGCTGGTATAAAAGTGGCGTACTTCGAGAACCTGTCCACTACCACCAAAATTGATCCAAGATCTCCTACTCGAGGCAAGCATGATATAAAATCCAAGGAGATACTCTCCCAAGGTCGGGCGGGTACGGGTAGTGGCTCGAGCAACCCAGCAGTCCTCTGTCGATCTACCTTATCTTGTTGACAGATAAGACATGTCTTGGTGTAATCCATCACATCTTGGCGCATTTGAGGCCAATAATACCCTTGTCCCAACAAAGCAACAGTACGCCTCCAACCCGGATGCCCGGCCCATGGGGTATCATGACATTCCTTCAACAGCTTCTGTCGTAGATTTCCAGCTCGAGGAACAAACATTCGTGGCCCCTTTGTCATCAATAAGCCATTTTCTATCCAAAAACATTTCGAAACACCCTTTTAACCATCTCCATAAGGGCCTCCACTTGCGGATCTTGCTTGGAAAAGTTCACAAGGAGCTGACGAATTTCATTGGACACTCTACTAGCGGATATAGGGGCCACACATCGGAGTGCTGCCAAATCTGCCCTGCGACTCAAAGCATCAGCAACCTGATTCTTTTTCCCCGCCTTATGCTCAAAGTTGAAGTCAAACTCGGCCAGAAACTCTTGCCATCTAGCTTGCTTTGCTGTTAGTTTCGGTTGTGTAAGGAAGTGGCTAACTGCTGTATTATCGGTATTTACCACAAATTTGGAACCCAACAAATAATGCCTCCAAATCCTCAAGCAATGAATTACTGCGAGAAGTTCTTTCTCTGGAGCCGTATATCTCGCTTCAGTTTCATTTAGCTTCCTACTCTCAAACGCCACGGGATGGTTGTCTTGTAAGAGTACGCCTCCAAGTGCATAGTCGGATGCGTCTGTCTCTACTACCAGAGGTTTTTCTAGGTCTGGCAAGGTAAGCACTGGTTCACTGATTACAAACTTCTTTAAATCGTCAAAGGCCTCTTGAC